TGTAGAGAAGTACAATTTATGGTTTTAAACGCGAACTCTTGACAATAAAATTATATGACGTACATGCGTGTTTATATTCGGCACGCAAAGAATTATGTCGAACCATTTAAACAGAAATAAATATCCCGTAATAAGTCAACGGGGATCGTCGTGGAAATTTTCGTCGAAGAATACGAGTAGCACGCACTCACTATGTATATGTACGGTGAACGTTGGCACGTGTGTTGAAAAATAAAAGTAACAAATGACGTGACAAAATTGCATTTTCTACGAACACGGGGTGAAATATAAATGGCAACAACAGAAAATATAAGCCGAAGCTGTAAACAAAAATGATATAATAATAATAAAAATAATAATAATAGTATGATTAAAACAAAGTGTCTCAATTTACTTTTAAAATTTTTATAAAATCCCTAATGTCCGCCATTTGAATGAAAAAATATTGCTTATCATTTCGATAGCATCACAATTATTTATCATATGTTTTTCTTAATTTTTCACTAAACAATGTGCCTGGTCATTGTTATTAAAGCCAAATACACTGATCTTCAACAGTTTATTTTAAGTCCTGTAGTTCAAACAACTAATATGATATATAATGCTCTTAAGAATAAGTGTTCTAGGTCTTCTTCTGGTTCTCTTATATAACATCTTCCTTCATATATGAATTCAAATTTAAAAATTCCAAGAGTCGTATCAGGTGTTCAGATAATTTTTCTCTTCTAAAACGCATAGTTTGTTTTAATATGTTTTTAGTATTGTATTTTAATATTATTTAAAATTATTTCTTATTTAATATGCTACATTTAATTGTTCAAGATCATGATTTCATATATTATCATATCTGTGCAAAAAAAAAAAAAAAAAAAACATTCGGCATTAAGTTCGCTATGAAAATCATCACGAGAGAATAATATATTGTATCGCACTGGCAAAATCATATTTCTTTCGCCGTTTACGTGTAGAATATTTGCAGAATATAAAGAGAAGCAGGGAACAGGAAATGTGAATATTAAACTTTTAGATTTCACGAGGAGAGCACAAATACGATTTATAAGTATTTTGTGTGCGTGTAAAATTACATACAAATCTTGGAATTTGTAAGACGCGACTACGATGATTAAGCGTATTCTACAAGTCTTACATTGATGAATCACACACGGTGAACGTAAGATAAATAAAACGTGACGTCGATAAACAGTTTATAACGTTCTTTGTATCAAAAAAATAAAACTAATGGACATTTTCAAAAATGGTTTTTTATGAATACAATATAAAACTTTAAAGAAAGTATACATTTTAACGAATTTTCATTAAACATCATTAGTTATTACGGACACTTCATAGTTTCGAAATACTGAAGTTTTTGCTATTTGTGGGTACTTGAAATTTTAGATTTTTCAAAAGTCTAGATATCTTTTTTTTGATGTAAAAACATCTTATACGGCGTTTAGATTTTTCTGTTTGAGAAGTGAACATTTTCGAGCGTTACCTATTATATTAATAAAAGGAGAGGTGATTTTTATGACAATTATATCTGAAGTTCTACTGGACCGATTTGCACAGTTTTTTTTTTTTAAACGCGAATATTTTTTTGTGCAGACGAGCCATCTAACGAGAAAAGTTCAAAAATGTAATTAATTAAATAGTTATTAGAAATATTAATTTTTCCGTGGATACGTATCGGTTCGATACTAAGGCTGCGGCGCGGTGCGGTAGCACGAAACAGAGTGGGAAGTTTGGGCGGCCACATATTACCGTCTTATTAAAAATGAATTATATTTTATTTTAATTTTAATTTTTTTTAATTTTATTTAATTTTATTTTAATTAAAATTGAACTTTTGTTCAATTTACCTTATAAGGAAGTTTGGGTCTTCTACTATATAAGAAATTCTTCAAAAATATTAACTTATTACTTTTCCTTCGTTCAAAAACGATATTTCGAGAAAAATAGTACATTGCTTTCAAGAGCAATACTACAATACCATTTACCGAAGCACGTATCACGTTCATCAACGGTGGACACCTAAACTATTCTGCTGCGATTCAGGCGGAAACAATACATAAATATCGGTATTCGTTTAAATTTCTGCCGTGAATTTGAAGGTATTATTATAATTATTATTCTGATACACTTAACGGAATCGAAATTATTCGTTATATTATAATTCATATGCGAAATGAGAGTAACTGCGTACGTGCGTTCACGATATAACACATAATGTATACCTGCGCAATGCAGTACAGATATATCTTAAAACATATCGGTTGAGTTTATCTTGTGTAGTATTATGATTTATAAATTTGTTATTTCGTAATGCAAGTTAATCGTGATTGAGTTGGTAAAGTACTTTGATGATAAGTATTTATATTCATACATTGTTTGTTTGGTTATGAACAGTTCCTGATGACGATGACGATGACAACGTATAAAAAATGATAATTTCACGGTTTTAGTACTACACAGCATCGGTGGTGCTACGTTATTGGTACGTATACACGTGTATATTCTCGGTAAAAGTTCGTGATGTAAAAAGTTTTACAACTGTTTTAATAAATTAATATGCTGAACTAAAAATTTATATTTTTCTTATTCGTACTTTGTGGTTTACGACGAATCTCTGTGTACGTTATTTTTTAAATAAGTTTTAACGTATAATGATTTTTAGAATTCGAATGTGGAGTAGTTATATAAAATAGTTATAAAACAAAAATAATGTTTATAAAGGTAGTGGCATTAATGATCTTCAAAAAAATGTACAAGAAAATAAAAATACTTTATATAAATTTATACTTTTAATGAACACCGATAGGATGTGTAGGTATAGTACATTATTAATATTTAATTAATGTCAAAAACTTTAGTTATAAAATAATAATTATACAGATATTATAAATTCAAACATGAAATATAATATTATATGTGAGTGTAAACCAATTTTAGGAAAACCATGCGATAATGGTATAAAAATAAATATTTACTTTTCAAGTAAATATTAGATAAAGCACGTATTTTTTAAAAATAATGGTTTAGGAAACGTCACAGTGTTTATGAAAATATATTTTATTCTTAAATTAGTCGAAAAAAAAAATAAAATAATATTTATCTTTTAGTGCTACATGTTATATACAAAATGGAATGTGATCACAATATATAAATGTACGTTTAACTATGTAATATATAAAATGCAATTGTAATACCTAATTCTGTTTTCATATACAGAGTCCAGGTCTATGGACTCAACTGAGACAATTAATTTAGAACATTTAGAAATCAAACGCCTGACAAACGTAAAGTAACTCGGGTTTCATAATTTAACAATTAAAGTTGTATGTCGAACTATACTATTCGAGTATATTTTACCAGTATCACGACTTATCTACATTCCATGACACCACTTTGAATCACGTATTGTACACAAAAACTGACTGCGCTTATTGGCACAAAAACAAAATGGTATGTCTTCTTGTTACGTGAACATTGAACTATAAATATTATTACTATTATAGACAAATATAGCAAAGAAGAACACATATTCGTAAGACCCACGAAGACATATGATAACAATAATAACCGATTTGGACTGGTGAAGTGCACGCAATAAATCGTCTCGTCGTGTCTTACGATTTAATGTTCGGTAGGAAACTTTCTGTGTATTATATGCTCGGATGAAGTACTATTTATATCGGTGGAATGTTATCATTAACGTTGGAGTTGATGGGACACCAAAAATAATTGACCGTGATGATATACGCGTTCGTTAAATAGTGAAAAAAAAAGTAGAAATATTTTAGCAAGTTCAATGGGTCGAGAAGTAAACGCAATACAACTACTATTAAATATTGTTGTATGGAATTAAAAAAAACAATATATTTTCAATCGATTTCTATCGTTTATCATACACGATATGATTCGATACGTGAATTTTATGTGAGATGCTTACAAGTAAAAACATACTGAAATCATAATTATACCGTGAATTTGAAACACCATAATAAATTGAGTATTTAATACTCAACCATGGTTGGTCTGAATTACGGTAAGCATATATTATATTGATTATTTCGTTTTTATTTAACTTGTGAACTATTTATACGTATGCGAAATCCATCAGTGAACAGTGTGATTTTATAAATACTGACTTAATGTTTCATGATAAACACGACCCTCATGTCTCGTGTCGAGCGTGTTCAAAAATCGTAAGATGGACGAATTCACATTTCGAACGCAAATACCATGTAACCGACGAAGCATAACATTATATTAAATGTATACCATACGTTAACCACGCCCTCAAACACGGTTTCAACAAGATTATGAGAAAATTCCATGAAAATATATTAATATAATATTATTGTGTTGAACTCTTAGAAAAAAAAAAACTAAATCGGTGCGCAATCGAAGACTGTATATCATAATAGTAATAAATTATTAGATATTCTACATTTTGTCAGATGCATGTGTATAAGATATATCGTTTAATAGACATTAAGCTTAAGTTATTATTATTTTTTTTTAATCTATCCAACTTCCCTTTGGTGAATACATTTTGTACTATAGTAAATTTCAAACTTCACAATCTATAACGACTTAAAAATCGAAACAATCTGAGTTACAACTAAAAATATCTCTAAATAATTTAGCAATAAATTTAATAATCGAGCAAATCCACCAATATTTATCGTAACCAGAATATTTGTACCCAAAAATTCGCTTTATCAGTTAAAAATACAACACGGTGTCGAGACATGATGCATTTTGATTATAAAATATCTTTTTACAACATTAGTTGGTTCCCATACTAGTTGGCTTCCCTCATCATGTATAATTTCCATGTATGTTATGTATATTTTATTAAATTCACTTATTTTATATAAAATAAATATAAAAATCCGACGGTAATCATTTTATGTTTGAAATTAAAAATAAGAAAAAATTACATAACTAATTTATATTCGTATTTAGATGTTGAACACGATCGTGGGAAAACTTACGTGAACAGTACGGGGGTTCGTCTGACTTGTCGCCGCAATCATCATTGCCATTGCAGAATTTGTCCATTGCTACACAATAGCCAGTATCGCACATGAACTCGGACAACTGACAACAGGTGCCATAATTTATCGTGACCAGCACACCACACAGGAACAGAAGAACTTTTTGTATTTGCATTATGGTCTGAAAACAAATACACAAAATTTGTTAATTCTTTATGACTCTAATTCATTACTCGCTGTATATACATATTAACGACAGTTTATGCAAAGAAAATTAAGTTCTTTGTATATCGTTTAAAAAAAAATGAATGTTTAGTATTATACAGGCGTAGTTTGATTGAAAAATGCCGTGAGTTAGGTTAGGTTAGGTTGATTTTTAGAAAGAATTATATTCATCAATAAAACACATTCACAGTGAATGCAATAATATATACATGTATATCCATAAATGTTTGCGAAAAAATTATATAATAATAATATAGTGGGACCTTGTATGCTGTGCCACGAGAGAACAGAGACATTACATCGCAGATTTATTGTGACGTGCCAAAAATAAACGCTTAAAATAAAATCATTTCACATGATGATAATATATATATATATATATATATATATATATATATATATATATATAGATATACCTGGTGTATACAAACCATAAATCAAATGTCGAGGTTTGAAAACATCAAGATCGCCCAAAAAATCGGTCAATTTCAGTAAAACTTTATTTTTATTTTTAAAATGAATGTACATAACTAAATTGTAAAAAATTGTCACAATAGACTAAATTTCTCTCTTAACATAAATAATGATTAAAGACTTATTATTTATTTAAACTATATATATAGTATATACCCTGTAAATCATGGGACCGACAAATAAATGTAAACACAGGAATTATTTCGACCTTCATTATCATTTTCGGCGTGAATAGGTAAACAACCAACAGCTGGCCGAATTTAATTTACACAAATTAACATAAAACCTAACAGTATAAAATACTCTAACATTACTCTTATATTCTTAATTCATTCTCGTATTCGTTTAATCTGCTTAAAATATATACCGTCTTATTATAATTGTTATTATTATTATACGTCTACTGCTACACTACTGTTTTAAATTCATTATGTTAGTTACTAATGTGTCTTTATACTTTGTATGTAAGAAATGAATAATTCATTTTTACGCATTATTAACAATAACTATTAAACAGTAGGATATGATTTTTTAATTTTTTATTTTTATTAATAGTTTCTAATATAAAAATATGATAGCTCAACGATTACAAATATTAATATATAAATATTTTATACTCTAAAGCCAGAGATATATTTTAAATATGTTCTTCTTCGTCTTCAGCTTAACAGTCTTTCAAGAGCCTTAGCTGTTCACAAAACTTTCTTACATCAACCACTATTACAAATAATATATATTATTCACAACCAATAATTTTTTTTTTACTTTTATTTTTTAATATCCCTCATAAAGGTACCAACTCTTTCGCTGCGCACATTCAAAATTGTTTACTTGAAAATCGTCATTAACCTGAATGCGTAAGGATCGTTTGCGCACAACTACACACACACTCACATATATATATCGGCCACAAATTGCAGTAAAAATTAACAAATATTCGATAGAAATAAAAATTTATCTTATATTTGTTTGTGTTAATTATATGGTTTTGAATTTTTCGTACTTTTAGTAGTATTTAAGTATATTTATTGAATATAAGTGTCAAAATATGTAATTCGTGTGACTTAAGATATTCGTAAAAATTTCTAAAATTTCTGAAACGTGACAAGGAAAATAGTATTTGAATCATAGCGTTGATAATTATAAATTAAGTAATATCGTATCTTACATAGTAGCGATTCAAATTTTAGACACAGGTGCAAATAAAAAATGTTTTGCGAATGTTAATGATAATAAATTAAACACAATCATGAAAGTGACCAATACTCATAATCATGTGGAGTATAATAAACAAGCAATGACAAGATAAATCATCAGAAGTACCCTTAAACGTAGTGTGAACATTTATTTTTTTTATATATAACCAAACAAATGAATAACCTTTAGTATGATCAGTACCAAATACCAATTATCTACTGATTATCTGCTTGTGCAAACGAATTGTATTTTAAGAAGATTTTCGTCGTCACAAGTAGCTAAAATGTCTGTGCGCGATCCAGTTGTTTTTTTTTGTGTAAACGAGTAGTAAAAAAAGATAAATGTGAGCAAACGAGTTTTAGCCCTCATAAAACTGTTCACGAATAAAACTTGTTGTGTTTTCCATTTTGAAAGACTATATTTGATATTTGTCACACTTTTATCCGTTCTTCTTCGACTGTCAATGAGATTGAATTTCAATCATCTATTCCTTTTTTTTTATGTTTTTCAATAGAATCCAATGTACCTTTTTCAATGTAATCACATACTAGTACAATATGTATCATTTCTTACGGACCCTCGTCAATGTATATATAGAAAATAAATTTAGAATTTTTATAGCGTATTATGTAACAATTGTTACTCTTAAACATTTGTTCTTTTCGATTTCGGCATTTATATACATTCGAGTTTTCACTCAATACAAATATTCTAAGGGATATAGAATTAATTAACAATAATCGAACGATTATAGTTTGTTCTTTAGCTATAGAGTTTATTATTAGCATTTGGTAGTTAGTACGGATATTTAGTTATGCGCGTTGACCAGTATTACCGTTACTTTTATAAATTTATACTTATCATGTTTTACTGATTTGTTTTAGCTACACGACCATTGGAAAATAATAATAAAAAATAAAAACGTATATTAATTACCTATAATGATTGTATTAAATCGATTAATTTGATGACTGACTCCCATATTTTCTTTATGATATTTTATCGCACGTGTGAAATATTAAGAATACATTTTTTCGATTTAGTTTTCCATCTGAAACGAAACAGACTAGACACCCTCCCTCCCACCTGCGAAACGTTGACAGTAAAATAGTCAACACAAAAAATACTGTATTTGCATAACGTGCATGTTGATTATACAACTAGGAATAAAGGTCATTAAACGTGAACACACTGGGAACGACGTGCAGTACGATCGACACCGATTTTTGCCACACGCGCAATCGCGTTCCAACGTTACGTAACCGCTACTGCAGCACGCTCGCGGTATTCGTGCAATGCTGGCCAATGGTTTACGGTACAAACGGTCTCGTCGGTCATCGAATCGGACCCGATTCGATTATATCCCTCTGGTCGCTGGCTATTATTTATTTTCTTTCGACGCGGCGCCGTCTTAATCCGCGGCTATGTGTTCATTGTGTTTATAATATTGCCGAACCGTATAACAGCCAGACACTTTAGCAGTTTTAGTTAAATGTTTCCTTTTTGTGTAGGTCTGAGCAAAACATTTTGACCCGTATACCCCACCCCCTCCCACCCCGTTCCCAGTGATTTTAACACACTATCGTATGGTTATAGAACTTTGATAATAACAGGCCGCCACGTGCAGCAGTACGCCTCGCTTTTCTCATTCCGCAACACTTCTATTGATTCCGTTTTAGCACCGATCTCGTCGACCTTTTCCACTCTCTTACCGCGAAAAGTTCACTTGGTCAACTGTGCTTAAATCTATCCGATCCGAAGAACCAATTATAGGATTAAGTCATCGACGGGCACCGGATACGCGCGATGCAGATGATTTCATTTGTCGATGAAGCGAGACGCGTAGACAAAAGACCCGAAGACTTTAATGCTACTAAACTAGAGCCGTACTAAACTCATAGCGTCCGTAAACGTACACGTCACATCATATAAGATCAACTAATAAGAACGTATTGTAATGAAGATTTATTTCTGACCGAGCGTAACAACGTTAATCTCATACTAAACATTGAAGTGTATTGATTATTTTTCCGAGCGAAAAAATAGAAACGGTACTTATATAATTAAACACTTCAGTGGTAAATATTTGTTTGTCGACACGTACTATTACGTTATAATACCTCGTTTTATAAAAATACGTATCAGATGCCCGTTTATAGTGTATGAATTAATTGTTATACGATATAATAATATACTATGCAAAAAAAAAAATATCGTATCAGTGTGCAATAATAAATATTGTTTTTACTGTATCATTGGAAACTGCTGTATTGAACGAAATGGGCAATTATATTTTATTGCAAAACGAAGCGAATATAAAACATACGTCAAATATTATAATAACGTTGGGTATATGTTTTCATAAATAATTATACGTGCTCGGAAATATTTCAAACGGGTACCTGTGCAGAGGAGGGGGAGGACAATAAACAATTATAACACTCACTCTCGGGGGATAGGAGTCAGCGCTACGCTGCCATATCACTGTATTACATTTCGCATTACACTGATTACGTCGGAGACACGGGGGCGGCGGATGTACACAGATGATTTGACGATTTGACCATCACATGAGCACTTCATCGGGCACGCGCTTGCCACGACCATATGAACTATATCTGGCGTTGTGTTGTACTGCCCATGGATACATCTCTGAACGGTGCGGGCGTAGATATTTTCCCACCGCGGTCGGTGCGAACATTTAAGAATCACTAACAGGCCCATAGGAATTGAATTCATTTGTCTTGCTGTCGTTTGCTTACCTCGCGGCTGACAAATAATGCGTATGGAAATTAATGAAATGTTGCAGCAGCATCCCTCGTCTACAAAGTGTATATTTATCCACGTCGATCGAACCTCCGCCGCGAGCGCAATTTATTGCCCGTTATGGAGGGCGTTACAAATGCACGTATCAATTACCCTCCTATCACACTACCCGTTTCGGAATAGTGTGGCGATACACGCCGCGAACCACCCGTCTTGCAAGGAAATCTTGTTTGAAAATTGACTCTCTGGCTCAACAACGCCTTCAAGACCGATTCGATCGGATCTAAGGATAGTGTGTAAAAGCGTATATTATACTATTGGAAACGTACCAAATACGACGTGCCATCAATCTCAATCGAGTGGTTTTCGCAAAAGACACCTCTCTGCACTAATATACACATACGCATGTACATTCGTCTTCGAATCAATTATAACCAATAATAACTATACTTTTAACGTAACAACATAACTGCGATAATTACGAGTTCGTGCATTGTGCTACGGTGGCGTGCGTGGTTG